TACTTCCCATATTTGGCGCTAACTTGGGAAAGGACCAGTCTACCGTTGGTACTTGGTAGAAGAACTGCGAAGACAACATTCGACACATTTTTTTAATATTTTTTATTCACTGGTCAAATATCTTTTTCTTTTTACTCAAATATATCTATATGACGATATCTAAAGAACAATACAAAATAATTTTCTCTGATTTTTAAGTATTATGCGTGTAGATTTAATATATGATAACAATAGAACTATCACAAGCTACATACATTTTACATTGAGTTGTTCAATTAACAGATGCTTTAAATGATATATTCCCCCGCTTGATTCTATCCAACATGCACATCTTTTATTTCAAAACCTAATTAGGTAGAAACATAACAACAATCTATGTAGATTCATTTTGGTACAATGGGTCTAGACAATATTCCTTTTTATGTTGAAAGTCCAAGTGGTATGGCTAGATCTAAACAAATGTGTAACACATAAGCATAGATAGATATATGCAAACATGAAGAAGAAGAGACAAAGACATTTTTACGAGGTTCGATTTCTCTACATCTCCGGAACCTCGTCCATAATTCATTAACTAGAAAAGTCTGCACATACAATTGATATATGGCATCCACCACTCTTTTCTAGATTTACAATGACGCACACAACCTGTGTGCTCTACAGAGACTACCACTCTACACTGGGTATGGCAAGTGTAGCTCTGCGACAGGAACCACCAGGTTCTGAACTTTTCCGTCTTCTCTGGTGGAACAACCATGAACACAACCTCCGTGTCACACACGAACACACACTACCACTCTAAACTTGTTACAGCGAGTGTAGCTCTGTGACAATACACCACCATATCACAATATATGGCTGGCGGGACTGCATCACACACACATACACAAAATGTGTGAATCTCTCAAGACGCTCAAGATGTGTCAACCTTTTTCTCTGAACACATCCTCCTTTTTATGCTAGCAACTTTACCATAAAACCCTAATTCTCTTGACCTTTGGATAAAACTCTCCTCCTTCTTTTGTCAACTTGCCCATGCCTTTTATCTGACACAAGAAGCTACTCTGTTGTACCACACCTGCCACGACACTTGTCTATGTCACTGTTTGCAGCAAACAATTATTCTTTAATCCACTTAGCACCTTTGAGCCTTTGACACAGCAAAGCCTACCTGCTTTTCTGCGACACTGTTCAACACAACACATCGGCCTGGACCTGAAGCAGCCCATGTAGTTTTCCTTAAATACTCTATCATGACTTCACAAAGCCCACATGGCTCTTCTTTCTGTTACCCATCTCATGACTCTGACTTCTCAAGACACAGACATCTTATGTGTCACTTCTTGTATCATCTTCTTCATAATTCAGATATAGCGTTCATCAAGACCTTGATTTTAAAACCTGAGACAACCTGAACACTTTTCCTTTCACAACATGACATCAAGACTCGTAACTTATCCTCAATAAGCTCTTCATTACTACACTCAGAGATCTCTTGTGCCACTTAGATATCTCCTGAACCACTTCTTTCATCAACTCCTTCACAACAACTTGTCATACAACATTTATTTTAATCTTGAGTTCTATGACAACTACACTTACAATCTCTCCCTTTGTTACTGGGTTTTAGAACTTATGCTCACTTCACATTAATGATCTTTAAGCTTCAATACAACATCAAAATCTCTGTCTAAGTCACCACTGCAGAAGCTACGATCTCTGAACCAATGGCTCTGGTTTCATCTGTCTCAGGTGTTGTATCATTAAAATTTCCAGCAGCG